TGCTCTTTTCACAATAGCTAAGAGATGGAAGCAACCTAAGTGTCCCTCAACTGATGAGTGGTTAACAAAAATGTGGTAAATTTACACAATGGCGTTCTATTCAGCAGTAAAGAAAGATGAAATCATGAAATATGCAGGTAACTGGATGGAACTAGAAACTGTTATACCAAGTGAAGTAACACAGACTCAGAAAGACAATTGACGTATGTTCTCCCTCATATGTAGATCCTAGCACCAAATCCTGATAAGTGAGTATTTATCCAGACATAACTACAGGAACCAGGATAATGAAAATCAGCCAGGGAGGTAAAGAAAAAGAAAGAACCTGAAAGAGATGAACAGTAGGAAACAGGTGTTGATAAGGGAGATATGGATAAAAACGGGGTTTAAGGGAGCGGGGAGGGAAGGGTATACAAGGAACCTAGGGGATAAAGGGAAAGAAGGAGCTCAAGAGAGGTAGGACTATAGGAGTAGGGAGAAAAGGGGGAAATGGGGGCACCTTAAGTGGGAAAACCATGATGCAGGGGTGAGATAATACAAGAGATAAATAATGCCTAGCTAGTTTTGAAAACCAGTGGGAATCATATTACTTCTACAACCTACTGACAAATTATACATAGCAGATCAAGAAATATATGTCTAGGTAAGGTTTATCTGAGAACAAGTGGTCCTTGCCCAAGATTTATCTACAGGACACACAGTAAATTAAGGTGGAACTAACCTTCTTGGATGTTTAACAGACATACTTTGAGGCCGATAAAAATTTGGTCAGAGGGACATAAAGGACAGTTTTTTCTCCTTGCCCTCCTAGGTTGACTAGTTACAGGATGTGGGAGACAGGCTTGAGCCTAGGGTGAAAGTCCTAATGACAGCCACACAGCAGGCCTGAGGCAACGGCCCAACCACTGGAGCCACAAGAAACGCCTTGTGACATTTGCTTCCATTGGCAGATCATGGGACTGATGCCTAGAGCTTGCCACTCCCTGATCACCACCCTAGAGAGTCTAAGTTGCAACGCATATATATTGCAACAGCTGGTAAAAGAAAGGAGCCAGGGGCTCCTCCCAAGCCCATGTGACCCCTGAGGAACAGATCCTCAAACGGCCTTAAGAGTAAAAATAACTGATTTATCTGGATCAACTGTATGGCCTTAAACACCCAAAAGGAAAGTATAACCAAAGATTAAAGGGGCCAATATAATTTTTTTAAGAGTCCATATGCATAGCTAAAAGCTATATAACAAGCAACAAATGCCAGAGAGGAGATACCTTCTTTTGAGTCCCAGGGTGGCCCAAGGGTAGCCCTGCATAGAACTGGGAAAATGAACAACAGACCCCAATCTTATCTAAAGGAATACTGACAACAGATTGCTGCTAGATGAGGAACACCTGACCCTCCTAAAAAAAAAGCCCTCTAGATAGGGTGACTAGATTCACCAGATGGACAAGTAATGGGTAATGGCTGGGGCAGGGGGGTGGGGGGGGCAACAACACAGCAGACAGTAGCAGGGATATCAGAGTATAAGGGCTCTAGTGGGTGGAGGGAGGCTATGGTAGGGTGCCATCTGGGAAGTGGGTGTATAGTTGAATAAGATGGTTTGGGATGTTCTGTGTGATACACACACACACACACACACACACACAAAATCAACAAATTTTTTAAAATGTATTATATTTGAGGAGGAAGCATAGAAATTTACGTCATGTTAATTAGCAGAGGTGATAAACATTACCATTGAAATCTACCCAATGACTTTATAGACATACACAGGCGCCAAGGATCCAAGTGCCAAGGATCTGATTATGATTAGTAATAATCAAATACATACAGATTAGAGAGGCATGTGCCAACATCTCTGTTAGTAGCAAAAACAATGAGTCTTTCTGCAGGGAACAATATATTCTAAAATGAAATGGAGATCTTTTTTAAAGGTTAAAAACTCATTCAATTTC